GTATGTATATTTCTGACCGTTTCAAGTCTTCCTTTAGAAACCGGTTCCTACTTAATTATGAACCAAATTATGACTATAAAAGGGGATCAATAAATGCTCAGAAATTTGCTGAATGAACTTGGGTTAACTGGAAATGTCCTCTCTATTTGTGTCTCACTTCCTTTCGGATGGAGCACAGAATGTAATTGTTAAAAAAATTGAAACTGAGCTTCATCTGATATCTAATAGAAAAACACATATAATAAATAACCGCATAAAACATTAGGTATTAAAAATTTGTAAATTAAATTGTAGATGAAACATGTAGGTATAAAGATCTCACATCTAGAGAGCATGTGAATGGTTTGATGAATACAAAATACTAGTTCTTGTATTTTTGTTACATTATATAAACAGGGTAATTGTTTTTAAATTTTAAAAAGTAAATTTTAAAAAGTACAGAAATAATCCTTAATAAAAAATTAAATAGTATAAATTCCTCGTTATTTCGGTTAGTTCCTTGGTTATATGTTGTTCGAAATTTCAGGGATTTTCGTCATTAACCTGTGAATTTTACATCGCTTCCTTTACTACGGTCTTTTTGGTTCTTAGAGCATACCCAATTTAAATAAAAAATTCAAGGAATTTACATTGAAGTGCGTAAAGTAGACGAAATTTATAGAGCAACTGTCTATGGATTAATAACTAATTGGCAGTTGAACCCAAAAAATAAAGACTTTAGCAGACAAACACAAGGCATAAAAATAAGGCTGACAAATGGTAGCTTCTAGACTGGCAGCTGCTTTAAGATATTGTGAACACGAGCTCATTATATTTTGGCTGAAGCCTGTGGTTTTATTAGTTACCAATGTGTAAGATGGGGTTTTTACGATATGCTCAAGCAAGTGGTAAATATTTCAAAAGGTGAAACAACTCAATAGGCAGGATCAAAGGATCCGATGATATTGAATGGGAACATGTTTTCGCAATTTATGACAATATACATCATTTACTCATCATCGGCGGCGCCTTGTTGCTGGCGTCTCTAATTCGTTTACATAGTGTATACTGGGAAAACATTACCTAATTCGAAACAATCCCTATATTAATGTATGCTGTATATGCTGTTTTATTAGCTGCAGTTGATCAATTATCCACTAGTTTATTGAGCAGTCAAACTCCAATTCAGGAGAGAACCAGTGTATTTTCCAGATATTTTCAGAACACTCCCAAGGGAGTCCGAAAATTAAAGTGATTACGAATGAGATCGAAGGTATATTCCGAATTAAGAGTTCAACTACAACTAACAAAGACTGCTCTACGATATTCTGAGTTTTATTTCATTTGCTTCTATTCTGTGTCTTCGAGTCTGCAAAATAATTCTCTTGGAGTTTTTGCGAATATTTCCTAATCTTTTTCAAATCTGCTCGTTCCAAAGACTAAAATAGACGAAAACACTTGATTTACCTACATGTGTCGTTTTATTTCAATTTTTACTACAAGCAATACTTTCTCAGTCTAGTCTCAAGTCCTCGATAACAATCTTATCAAAAAACATTAACGAAACAATTAGCGTAGTACACACCAAATGTTTCCAAGTTTTCACATGGGGGTTTTTAAGTTAATTTTTAGCTAAACAGGCATGATTCATGCATGTTTCTAGCATGTTTGGTGTGATTAAATCTGTTTTGGTCTTGGACGACTCTAAATTAAGCTTCATTGTTGTTTAGCTTGCCTTAGCATCTAGAAGTAGGTGATAAAGCGAAAAGTAAATTAAACCGATTACAATATATTTAGTATGTGACAGGAATTTAATAAAGTGAGTGCAACTCAAAGGCTCAGAAAGAGTATTTTATTCTGATTCTTATCTGATTATTCTGAGCTCACATTCTGTGACCTCAGATTGGCGCTTTGGTCGGTCGTGTCATGTCGATTTGGACTGGCTGAGACAGGCAGTTTCTAACTAAATTTCTAAATAAATCGGGTAGCATTGCTTAAAATAGCAATCATCTAATTGAGTCTAATTCCAATGTGATCTTCTATGATTGGCTTGTCGAATAACTTGCAAATTGTTTAAAACCTCCATATATCCCATCAATATTTAACCAGCCCGATAGTATCTGCAAATTGAGATCATCGATTTATACCTGCATAAACTTTTCAACTGATAATAGCAATGCGTTTGTGTTAAACAGCGAATTAACATTCCAGCAATTGGCAAATAAAATTTGAAATTGCTGAGAATGTCGCATTTCAAATAGATCCCACAGTAACAAAGCAATTGGCATAGTTTAAAGTAGAAGTGGCAAACAGGGAAATTTTCCGTGCCAGTTTACGTTATATTCAGTTGTCAATATTAATATTTTATTTATAATTCTTATAAATAAAGCTTAGATAAGTGACGATAATTCGAATGGCAAACACAAAAAGCAGCTGGCTTGAATTCCTCGGGCTGACTTAATTGTCTACTGATTGTTTCCCTCAAGGTTTGTTCTAATGCGACGAGTAAATTTACGATAATTAAACATAAACATGTAGAAAAAAACATTGCTTTTGTTTAATTAATTGCTGTATTAAATGGGGACTTCACTTAATTGCGTTTACATAAATTTTGTGTGTGTGGTTTTTTGCATCTCAAATTCAATACAATGACTTGGGATTGAATAGACGTTGTTCACAAAACGGTTCACAAGTGGTTTGTTTGCTCAAAACAACACTGATGAATCCAGAAATGCACTAAACTTACTTGAAAAAGTTTCGTTGACTGTTTGCTCAGTCATAATTGCGTGATATAATTTTGATTAGAATTAGTGTTAATTCTGTGATTAAATTTTTATTGAAGCCGCTGTTTTGTTTCAACAATCCTGTTGGGCGTCGTACTTCTGAGGATGCACGACCTCGTCCTTCCGAAACGTGAGAAAAACATTATTTTCCCCGACGTTCCAAACGCTCACTACTTTCAACCAATGACCGCGAAAGCCAAATTCTTTTGCCAATTTATACATGTTTGCTTGCATATTGTCAATTAACTGGGAGATTCAACAAAGTTTGTCCAACTCATTACTCTTCCGTGCGCAAAAGACAATAGTTTTAATGTTTTCATCACTGCAGTGAAAATTGAAAATATCAACAACGCCCATAAATGAATTATTAAAGATACGCCTTGATGAAAAGTCTCAACCAT